AATGCTTTTCAATTCAATTCAATTCAATTTTATTTGTATAGCGCCAAATCATATAATACATTATCTCAAGGCACTTTACATAGAAGGTCAAGACCTTAAAATCTTATTTAATATAGAGAAACCCAACAGTTCCTACAATGAGCAAGCACTTTGGTGACCGTGGAGAGGAAAAACTCCCTCATGGACAGGGAGAAAGCTCTAGCAGAACCAGAAAACTAATAAGGTCAGTTCAGGAAGATCGATAGAATAAAAATGGTTCAAATAAAAATCTGGTGCTACAGGTGGGTCTATGGTTTTGGGACAAGACAATATATCTGTGCTACTCATGGGGATGAGGTGATGAATCTTTTCCCTGATGGTTATAATTTTATTAGTGAAAAAGTTCATGAAATCATTGTTTCTCAGAGTTAGAGGGATAGATGGGTCAGTAGAGGTGTGACTMTCTGTCAGCCTGGCTACAGTGCTGAAGAGGAACCTGGGGTTGTTCTTATTTTCTTCTATTAATAATGAATAATAAGAGGTTCTGGCATGTCTGAGGGATCTCTTGTAACATATCAAGCTATCCTTCCAGGCTAGGTGAAAGTCATATTGATTGGTGGAACGCCACTTCCTCTCTAGCTTCAGTGATATCTGTTTTAAAACATGTGTTTGAGAATTATACCATGGAGCTAATCTCCTCTGATTTACTTTCTTCTTTCAGCGACAGCGTCAAGAGTTGTTTTTAATGAGACTGCTGTAATCTCAACAAAGTTATCAACAAGTGTGGGAGTAAAGTTTTGATAACTTTCCTGTATTGTACTGACACATGGCTGTGAGGTAAGTGTAGAAGGAAGCAGTTCTTTAAATTTGTTCACAGTTTTATTACATAATCATCGACTGTAATAGAATTTCTGTCCGAAATCAGTGTGGTCAATAATTCTAAATTCAAATGTAATTAAAAAATGGTCAGACAGAAGAGGGTTTGGGGGAAATATTATTACATTTTCAATGTCTATGCCATATGTCAGGACAAGATCAAGAGTGTGATTTAAACAGTGAGTGAGTTTATTCACATGTTGAGGGAAAGCAATCAAGTCTATTATTGATTTGAAAGCTGAACTAAGGCTGTCATTGGCAACATCTGCATGAATGTTGAAATCACCTACTATAATGATTTTATCTGTCCTAAGAACTAGCTCAGATAGAAATTCAGAGAATTCAGACAGAAATTCAGAGAAAGGGGCAGGCGGACGGTATATGATAACTAGATGAATTTATTATCATTTTATTAGTATGGGTGGGGGGCGTCGCTTCATTTAAACCTACATATTCACCATCTTGCAACAAGGTTTCGGTTAGACCTCGTTAACTGCTAAAGTTAAGTTGCTGAGCTAACACCAGACACGAGTGGTGTGTAGATCACAGTGAACAAGTCGCTAAGAGAGGGAGAGGTGTGTGTAAAGAGCAGTACAACTGTGAATGTGATTCCAGATCAGCTTCAGTGAGTCAGACAGTAGCAGGATTAGGAGAGACAAAGAGAAGAAATCGATACACAAACACCAACTAACACCAGAAGTGACACCCCATACGCTCACCGCAGTAAGTCAGCACGTCAGCTTTTCTCTAGTCTTGATGACTGCTCAAAGCTCTTTACAGTATAGTTTTTTTGCCATTCACCCATTCACACATACATTCATACGGTGCATCTATGGGCAGCATGTTTTTTGTCTCAGACCAAAATCGGTAAAAGTCAACACTGAGACAGAAAGACAAGAAGTCACAAGACAATCTGGGACTGAGAAGTTTTGCCACGCTGAACCAAATTGTTCTTTAGTTCAGCTGCTGTGATTGCAGCAGGAGAAAAATAGCAGTTTACCTTTGTGAAGGGGATATTAAACAGCTATAGCATTTACAGCATTACATTGAATTTCCCATCACAATTGTTAAAGTCACCAAGCAAACTGACTGAAAGCAAGTGGAAAGTTTATTTTTATTTATTCTTGATTTACTTTTGTGATAGCAGTGAAATTAATGCCTTGATAACTACTGAAGAGTCAAGGTGAGCAGACTGACTTAGTAATCAAAACACATCAGTACTCATATTCAACACTGAACTATCCTAACATTTGCCAGCATAAGATACAAATCACACCAGACAGCATGAGGCTATGGCAGCAAAATGCTGAGAGTCTGGACACAGCAAGGCTGAATTCTATTTCATAAGAATTAAAAATGTATTTGTAAAAGGGAAGATTATGTATTATAAGTTGATACTAATTGAAACATTGCATAAAACACAAATATGTATCCTGCCAAAATGTAGATGAATATAATAGATCAAAAATCTACTTACACACATGTGAAAGTATTGATCTGAGAATGTACTCAACAAAATACCTAATTGATAAAATTAGAGTTGTTTTTTAGACACTTATGTGAATGTGCATTTTGATTAAGTTTCTTTCGGACGAAAACACATAGCTGAACAATAGCTCTGTTTACTCACAAAATAAACAGCGAAAAGAGAGAGAGAAAAAGAGAAGATAAAAAAAGTCCATGTAATACTTGTGTTTGGCCATGTTGTGGAGGTACTGTATTTGTCTCCAAACAGACATCATGCATTGCATTAATGGCGTCAGCACTAACACACAAGTAAAAATACTGCATTTAAGGAAGTTAATAAATAAAAATAGAAATATTGCTCTATATTGGTTTTCTTAATTTATTTCTTGAAATATCTTTTCATTCATTTATTTGTGTTAAACTGTTCTTTTCTAGATTGTCATAACAAAAACATGAGGAACCTGACTGTCGTTCAATGCTGTGTGAAGTTATTGAAGTCTGCTACTCGTCAGAGGTGATGGAACTTCACAAAGCGTTGAACTGCAGCCAGGTTCATCACTGTGTCGGGTCCTCTGGAAACATTTCTGTTGTCGTTTTTTTGCTATTTGCAGCTCCCTTCTGCATTTGCATGTTGTGCGTGCATCGTCAAATTGCTGGAGTTGTTTTCTTAATTTTTTTTTTGCATGTGCTTTCTTCATATGCACTGATTTGACGACGCTCTCTGCCATCGCTCTATACAAATAGAATTCAATTGATTTGATGAGGGACCCCCAAGTTGCTCCACTTCCTGGGGCCCCCAAAGTCCATTGAAATGCTCCTGCTTCTTTCACCATAGTAACCATGTGCCTTTTAAGGGATAGTTCACCCAAAATGAAAATGATCATTACACCCCTGAAACACAGAATAGTTGTGTGGATAACGAGTGAATTTTCATTATTTGGGTGAACTATCCCTTTAAGGAGCTCAACCGGTGTGGCCTACATTTCCCAGAAGCCCACGCGACAGACTCCTCCGTGATTTAACGCGTACGTACGTTTCACTGAGGAGAGGATCACTGAAGTGGTTCAATATAGGAGTCAGAGCGGAGGGAGACATGTCTCTGCCTCACAGCCCGGACCCCAGCAGCAGCAGCAGCAGCAGCAGGAGGAGGAGGCCGGCGGACCTCACACCAGGTGAGAGGCTGCAGGAACAAACCAAATGTTATCTTTAAAGAAAAACTTTATCTGCGGCGACACGACCGCGTCTTTAACAGCTGCGTGAACACGGTCTCCATGTTTATGTGTCAGCAGCTGTCGTTCCACGTGATGTCATTACGGGGATGGAGCGAGTCAGGACGGTGTTATTCAGTCAGCTGTCACGTTGTGTTCATTACGTGTGTGTGTGTGTGTGTGTGTGTGTGTGTGTGTGTGTGTGTGTGTACACGTATGATTGTGTGTCAGGGACAAACCAGAGACATGCTTCCATTAGCTCTCCAACTCACAGAGCTCTGGGGACTATTATTATTTTTATTATTATTATTAGGACAGAAAATAGTCATCTAGACCTGTGACTTCCAAGCAGAGGGCTGGGACCCTCTGGGGGGTCGTGAGAAACAGAGGGAGGGTCTGCTGTTGATTTTGCAATTTAAACACAATTGTCAAAGTCATATTTTAGCCAAAAGGTTCCAAAAAATCAAACATACTGGGTAAATTTAAAGTAAAAGCATGCAAGTAATCATCCACCTTCTGGTTTTCTATCTCCGTGGTGCTGGCATCATTTGCAGCAGGTCAATAGAAACATTGCAAAGTGCACTGAGTATTTTCACGGTTTAACTGATTGTTTAATGTAATAAATGGCCTTTCTCCTTCACTATGTGTCTGCAACATTTATGGTTTTGAAGTTTAAAAAACTGCCAAATGTAGGTCAGTGGCCAAATACTTAAATTCACCCACATGTTCATCATACAATCATAGACAAGGACTGCAATTCAGCTCAACTGTGAGAAACTATGTTGTTAATTAGCCTGTCTGTTGTAAGGTTTTATATTTGTTATGTCTTCCTCCTCTGCACAGAAGGATGAAGCTGAGTAGTTAATCAAGATAATGCTGCTTGCACTCTGATCCTCTATCTGTGCAAAACCACTAACTCAATCACTACCTCTCTCCCTCCGTGCCATCTTTTATACTCAAGTGTATTTCAGGAAATAAACATGGAAACAAAAAGAGGAAACAAAACTCTACCTAAAACCGTACAAACTGCTCTTCACTGAAACAGGAACGAGAAGCCACGATTCTGGTGGTCGCTTGTCTCATGATGCCAGTGGTTTGCTAGCATTTGTCAAGGCTGCATCTCAGAAAGATCAAATCCTGGTAATGAATGAATGAATGACCCGAGAAAATTCTTTACCCTTTTATTTAATTACAGTCATGCCATTGGTTTCTCTGCAGAACAGATGCAGCTATTGTCAGACTGTCAAAGGCAGTAATCTGTTTAAATATGAAAATGCGCTGAAGGGAAGTTAGTTGATATAGTGAACTGTGCCGGACTCAAGACTTTAACACATGAGTACAGTGTAACTGAAGGAAGACACATGTAGATACATGCACAGTGATATGTGATGTATGTGTGTGTGGAAATACGTATATACTGTACATATTGTCAGTGGGGGGATGCATTCAGGGCACAACACACAGGATCCTTAATGAGCCGTCACACATACTGTTCTCAGAATTTGGCTGGTTACCTTCAGGCAGATGTTACAGAGCCAGTAAGTGTTAGACCAACCGCCTCAAGCTCTCGTTCATAAAGAAACATCTGGCCTCGGCCATGTATCTCAATAACCTTTGAGCTTTGTCTGGCACATTTTACACTTTTTTAGGTTTTAATGCCAGTTTTTGTCTTTCATCTTTTATGAGTTATATCCTTATAGTGTTTTATAATTTTAAGCGTTTTACGGCAGGTGCAATATTCAACTCACTCTCATTCTGCATTATTATTCTGGGTGTTACACGATATGTCCTTGTGCACAGGCTGTTTTTGTTTGTTTGTTGTATAATGTACTATTCTGCAGCTGCTGTAGCACTTCGGGCCCAGACAAATGTCCCCATGATAAATAACAATAAAGTATATTTGATCTGATTTGATTTGAATACTTTTCCCAATTACAGTAATGTGAAGAGTAGAATGAGGTGATGTTCCACAGTGAGCAGCATGTGTGTTTTTTTTTTTTAAACCAGTGTGTGTGATTTGAGTTAAATATCAGTGTGACTCCAAGACATCTGAACCTTTGTACGAGCTGTGTCACCACTGACAGGAGGAGGGACTCTGGGTTGTGCAGTGCGTGTTGAGAGTTTGAGTCATTTGACTCAGCCCCTCTGACTCCTCACTGTAAAAGATTCATGTTAAAACCTTGTGTACCTGATGATGGGGCTGTGACAAGTCAGAGCACGAGGACATTGTTGTCCACACAAAGACTCGTTTGAGAGAAGGAAAAGCAGGTTGTGACTTCAATCTAATTATTTTAATCGTCCCTATAAATGTTTGTAATGCGGCATAAGCTCTGCAAATAAAACTCTAATCATATAAACACAACTGTTGACATTAGCATTAATGCACAGAATAAGTATATTGAGCTATTCCATTTATGTTTTCCACAAATAATGAATGTGGAAGAGTGTCTATGGAAAAAATAAAACAAACTAATGATCTGTATTACCCATAGAACACACAAGATTCAGTACCCAAAGTAAAGCACTGTCTGTATTTTTTAATCGAGGATTAATAATTCTATATTCATGTGTTTATTGTGTTCACCTCACTGCAAGAAGGTTTCCGGTTTGGATCCATGTTCGACAGTGTTTCTGTGTGGAGTTCACATGTTCTTCCCATGTCTGTGTGGGCTTTCTGGGTTCTCGGCTTCCTCCGACAGTAAAGACTCCAAATTGACTGTAGGTGTGAAATGTGAGTGTGAACGGTTGCTTGTCTCTGAATGTTGGCCCTGTGATAACGCTGGGTGTTCCCGGCTCTCGTCCACTGTCAGTTGGTATTGACTCCAGCTCTCTCCACAACCTTTAAAGGTAAAGGTAGTATGATGAATGGATGCTAATCAGTTTCTTGCTTGGTGCTGCAGATCCTTCGTGGGATCATGATCTCCCGGCAGGTTACAATCATGAACAGATCCACGACCAAGGTCAACCTCTTATTTCAGCAGGCACTCCCCCCACACATCACTCCATTTGTCCACAACACCGAATGTGCACCACAAAGTGCATATCTGCACACACATGTGAGTACTGAGCACCAACTGGATTAGATTTGTTTGTCTCTCTCTAGATTTACAGACGTTTATTTGTCATGTTGTCGATCGTCATTTTAAGTTCAAACCACAACACAGGTGATGACAGCTGGGAGGAGATTCAAAGCAAGAGAACCATCAGAGCGGAGAACGAAGTGGAAGCCAACAAACTGGTCAACAACTACAGGGTAAGAAGTTTTTTGCAGCAAATAAACATGGTTTAAGTTTAGCAGAACTGGAAACTAATATTCTGTGTGTCTGTGTGTGTGTGTGTGTCTGTGTGTGTGTGTGTGTGTCAGTTTGGTTTTCGGAAGTGGAAGAGCCATGTGACAGAGCGTCCGTTTGAAGACAGGTCAGAGGTTGTGAAAGAGCTCTACTCCGAACTGAATGTCATCAAACCATATTCAGGTTCAGGTACAGGTTATTTTCCTTCATGTTGATGAATAACTCTAGTTTTTTACGTTATTATATGTTATTATTTTTCGTAAATGTGGTCACTGTGTTTGTGTTTGTTGTGCTAACATTAGACTCACCAAAATAACTGCTGAGATCAGAGTGGTGAGATGATCGTACAGGTTGTAAACAGGTCATTTTATTTGGAGGTAAATCCTTTAAGGTGTTTACCTCTGATATATTTTTTGTGAATTTGAAAGTCCTGCAGAGTTAAGCCTGTTCAGTGGTATGGCCGATGCTCCATGTGTTCCCTGACAATCCAGGCCTATAGCAGCATAACTAAAAGCCGGTCCAAGACAAACCTGAACCAGCTCTGACTATAATATTTATCAAAAAGGTTTTAGGTCTGCTTGTAAAGGTAGAGTGTCTGCCTCCCGAAATGAAACTGTGAGATGATTCCACAGAAGAGGAGCTTGACAGCTGAAAGGTCTGGCTCCTACTCTCCTTTTAGACATTTTAGGGATGACATCTCTGAGTGGGGTGATATGGTACGAGGAGCTCTTTAAGGTATGATGGTGCCATATTTTTAAAGGCCTTGTAGGTGAGGAGGAGAATATTAAATTCAGTAAATTCTTACGTGGAGCCTGATAAGAATCAAGTCTGGACGTAACAAAGGCATGGACACATTTTTCTGCAATCTTTTGAGACAGGACTTGCCTGCTTTTTGAAATGTCATGTATTGTAAGTGAAATAATGCAATCCTTGAAATTTGTTTTAAATGAGAAATATGTTTCTCGAACACTAACTCGTCCCCTCGTGCTCCAGCAATCCCATGCTTCCTCCAGGCCGTACAGTTCTGGATCAGTCTCGTGAGTCCCACGCCCCCTGCAATCCCTCTCCAGGAGAGCAGTGTGTAAAACCTGTCTGATCATCAAACCACAACACTATGTTCCCAGATCTCAACAATTCACCTTACAAGTGTGGTTTTATTGTTACTGAGAGAAAATGTGGCTAAACTAAAATATGAATTATCCTGTGTACTTAAATCAATTTACACAGAGGAAATGTTTTCATGTTCTATCTGTTTTTTTTCTTCCTGGTGTTAGGTCATTTTATCACATGTGGAAATGTACTGTATGTGTTTCTCTTTGGCTGGTGGGTCTCCCTGGCATATTTCCTGGTCAGCATATTGATGTTCATCACTGTCACTGGTGTACCATATGGTAGGTGAGCTAATCATAAAGAATAGTGATGGGATTCATTATCGATCATCAACCATTCCTCTCATTCTTTTATTTCTCTTTGTCTTCAGGGAGGCTTTGCTGGAAGTTGTCCTGTTACTTCATGTGGCCGTTCGGCAAGTCAATTCACGAGGTACGGTTTGGATCTGAGCTCAGTTCCTGCTTTGGACGTTCCTCCTGCCTCTCTTACACTTTACATGGATTCACAGTAGAACCTGCAGTTTCCTCATCGTGGCACTATAGTGGTCATGAAAGCAGAACTTTTGTGTCTCTAACGCCACAAGTCTGCAACAGTTGCCATTCACAGCAACTTGTTATTGCAACACATTTGTGACAACACTTTGAACAGTTGAACAAACCACAGCATATTAAGTTCAATAGTTATTGCCTCTATCTGCGAGTCATAAATCAAACTGTCCTGTGGTTGTGTTTTTCCAGATTGGAAATACACTGAGGAGATGTTGTGAGCAAGCACCAGACTGTGAGTGCAACACAGACGGGGTGGAGGATAACTCACCTGTTCTGCTACCCTCAACCACAGAGGAGCCAGTCCCAGAGATCCCGAGACGACCCCATCGCACTCCCCTCTGGGTAAATGTACACCCTTAAAGAAATGAATGAAAACCATTGTACACATTCTGCCACATGGAAATCAAGTGTATCCTTTCATCGCTCTGCTTGCCCTCTTGTTGTGTAGCGGTGTTTCTCCACCTACGTGTGGCTGCTGCTGGGATACCCTCCTCTTGTGGTCGTCCACTCCCTGGCCTGCCTCTTCTCCTGGATCCTAATCTTCACCATCCCTGTGTCAAAGATGAATGCACGGACTCTGGCCGTCATTCTTCTTCTGCCTCCTGAGGATGTTTCTGTTTCCTCTACCTCACAAAGACAGGTAAGAGAGAGAATTGGAACACATCAGCCAAAGCACATAAATCTGTAGAGACTCATCATGCACCAGTTTCTTTATTTTCTTCTACCTGACCTGCAGCATCAATGCTACGAGACCAGAGCACTTCTGTGCTGCTACCATGCTACAAACTGGTACTACTACAAGTACACTGTCGATGGGATCAATGTGTTCGCTGTCAGTATCCTTACACATGTGTGTGTGTTTGTGTGTGTATTAGACAGTGTGCGTCACATGAGGAGCTGTTATCATCTTTGACCCCGTCTCAGACCTCCTCCCTCTAGTAATTGTTGCTATAGTAATTGGATACATCGACAGACAAAATGATTACGCCAGCTCTGATGTCAAGTTCGCCATAGCGCTTTGCTCCATGATACCTCTGTCGTATTACATCGGTATGGGCATCGCCAGGTGAGCAGTTTCCATCAACTCCAAACACAGCGGCAAAGAGACCGCATAAGAGAAATTGAGTTTTGATCTTGTGTATGAAACACACACCAGTCAATTCACACAAGTGTGGATTGATGATCATTTTTGCATTTGCAGCATCTCAGCTCAGAGTAACTTTGCTGTGGGTGCAGTGGTGAACGCCACCTTCGGCTCCATCACAGAGTTGACCTTCTACATCACCGCTCTGATCAGAGGTCACCAGGCAGCCAACCCGTGTCTGCAGGAGGTCGTTAAAGCGGCGCTGACTGGGACGCTGCTCGGATGCATCCTCTTTATTCCTGTAAGCCCACCTACATTCACCTCACTGTTTACATTTTAAAATAAAATGAGATCATGGAATTAGATTATTTTCTAGATGCATGTCAGTTCACTTATGAGCATATTTTCAACCTGTAGACTCGATACAGAAACGATTAAATCATTGTTAACATCTCACAAATCATGTTCCCACGATCACACTTATTCTGTATGCTTTGTCCTCAGGGCATCTGCATGATAATCGGTGGACTCAGACACAGTGAACAAAGATTCAACAGTCGCTCTACAGGAGTGAGCTCTGCTTTGCTTTTCATCTCTATCGGAGGTACAAAACCAAATATACTGTTACTCACTCTCACATTTCAAGTAAGACACAGGAGGTGATGATAATAAAAGACACTGTTTAAAACATTTTATGAGGGAGCAGCTGATTTTCACAATCAACAATCATCTCACGTAACTCACTCGTACTCACTCACATGATCTCCAGGAAAGTAAACAGCAGCAGTCTATTCCTCCTTATGTGAACATGGTTTTACCTCCTCAAAGGTTCAGTGTGTAGAATTTTGTAATATCTAGTGTTGAAATTACAATTTTGATTAAACGAACTAGTGAAAACATCATGAGAATTATTGTACATTAAATTTCTGCCAATAGATCCTTTCACCTAAATCTTACACACTGGGCCTTTAAGAAAAAAAGGCTTCAAAACTTTTGGACACTTGCACCACCTACAGGCAGATGATGTTCCATTTTTCTGCTCCTTTTCTTGTGTGTTTACATTAACTTTTGAAATAATTGAGTCCCACTGATCTACAGTGAATATAAGATACTAGTACCACTAGTGGTTATAAAGAATATGTAAATATGTTTTCTGAACAAATACACATTCACAAAACATACAAGTAATAAAAGAAATGAATAAGAAGAAAAACAAATCACCCAAACCGACCCCTGGATCCAGGGCACAGTTCCCAAGAATTTGCAAATTAATTTGATAGTTAATTTTCCTTCCCAAAGAATCCGTTTTTTTTAAAAAGAACAGAAAGTCATACAATCAGCAAGAGTTTAAACATGAATCCATTCTGACACAAAATAAGGTAAGGGTGTTCAGAGGACGACGGCAGTGACAGAACCAGCTGAGCAGGTCTATTTCTGTCCTCTAACAGTATAATCAACAGCAGGGTAAAATAAATACCACAGTGTCTTACAATGAATCATCCCTCCAACTGTCGATGGCAGGTGTATTTGCCCCCACGTTGTTCTCCAAGGCTTATGGGAACCTGGTGTGCGAAGGCTGCACCAACTCCAGTGGACAAAACGCCTCGAGCAACAGCAGCGGACCGTTTGTCTGCCACAACTGTCACTACGACCTGGTGAGCATCAGGAGCCAGGAAGAGCTCCCAAACCTTCATAACACAACATATCACACTGACTTACAGGCACTGTTCTGTTTATGATGCGTTTTTATTTTTCTTATTCAACAGAACAACGGAACACTGTTCCACAACCACGTTGAGTAAGAAATTATACGTTTTGTATGTTTGGATTGTCATGTAAAGGACCATAATGGTTTTGTGTATTTTAGCCTATTAACTACAAATAATTTGTTGTAATTCATAGAATTTCAAATAACCACTGCCACCTTCACTACTATTTAAACTTCAAACAAATATGTTGCCTCTTAATTTCAAATATGACACCATGTCATGATGTTGTGGACAGAGACTCACACAAAACTCCTCTTGTGCATTTAAACAAGTTTCAACATCAATGTGTCAAGGACGGCATGGTGTTACAGTGGGTGGCACCATGTTAGAATCCTGGTTCGGCCGGGGTTTTGTCTGTTTTCAGTTTGGTCTGTCCAGGATGGACCCCACCTCTCGCCCAGTGTCAGCCGGGATTGGCTTCGGCTCCCCCCCGCGACCCTCAATTGATAGGCCGGCGCGGACGCCTGGGTTTGTCAAAAGTTCACCATAATGTCCACGTTTGCTGGTTTCCGTCCTCTGAAGTCTGTCCCTGAATGCACCGATGACTAGTGTTCAAAGCAGTCCCTGCTCACAGCTGCGTTATCAATTGGCAAAAAAATTTGTTCTCTCAAAAGTAAGAAAAAAAGTAAATGAGCTAAAACCTGTTAAATGATGGTCCTATGGGTTTTAAAGAATTTACTGAGCTGTAAAACCCCCTGTATATTTCCTCCCTCTCATTAATTGTGTATTTGTCTGCAGACCGCTGGTGTTCACTGTGTCGACCCTCCTGCCTGTCGCCTACATCATCGGTCTGATCTTCACGCTGAAGACTCACTCCCACATTTACAACATCCACGTGGGAGAAGGACAGAGTACAAACCGTTCTCATGTTGAGTTCAACATAACTGCACAACAGTTCAGTGAACAGTGAGGGTTTTATTCATCTCCACCATCGTATCTCTGTGTCTGTACAGTGACCGGCCACCATGGAGCAGTGGTCCACTGGTCTCGCTGGAGGTCTCTGATCATCCTCATCATGGCCACCGTGCTAACGTCTGCCTGTGCTGATCTTGCTACCGAGCACATCCAGCCGATTTTAAACCAGCCCAACATCTCTCAGGTGGGAACGTATCCTGCTCGGATATGTGGTTGTTTACTCTCTTTGTACTGACATTTCCTGTCTTCCTTTCTTTCTCAAGTATTTCATCGGGGTGACAGTTCTCGCTATGGTTCCAGAGATCCCTGAGATTGTTAACGGGGTCCAGTTTGCTCTCCAAAACAACATCAGTCTCAGGTAAATCATGTGTAATTGAAACATGTATCCACACAGCTTCTACACAGCCTTACCTGTTTATAAATCCTTTTTTTTCAGTTTGGAGGTGGGAAGCTGCATTGCTGTGCAGGTTTGCATGCTACAGATTCCAATACTGGTCTTTTTTAACGCTTTCTATGTAAGACACTCTTCTCTTCATTGATTTATTCATATAAATATCACATTTGCAATCTTTTATAGTTTTCAATGATAAAACCTGATCTCTGCTTCTCATAGGACGTGGGCTTTGTGCTGTTATTCAGTGACCTGCACCTGTGGGCCAGCATGTTCAGTGTGATCGTCGTCAACTACATCTTCATGGACGGAAAATCTGATTATTTTCAGGGTGAGTCTCTGAGGTTGCTTTTCATGCCTCTGATGTTTTGAAGATCCGTTAGTAACCAATCACAGTTACCCAAGGACAGGACATGGGATAAGCAAGAGATAGAAATGTTTTATCACTTTCTTTAACATTGTGAGATACAGCACTTTCCTTACAGACAATAATTCTTGGCTCAAGATGAAAATACAGGCACATTTAGGAAACTGATATCTATGAGTGGATGAAATTTGGTGCAGCTTGATTGTATTCAGGAGTTGGCAGAGGTATGTGTTCCATCGATGCTGACTAAAATTAGTCCCAGTGATTGACGAGCCATTAAAAAAAATCTTTTTAATCCTTGCCGGTTGATTTCCATAAGATGGCTGGAAGAAAAAAAAAAACAGGAAACCAATCTAAATACTTTAGGATTGTTTATCTAATTTGGTGATTTAATAGAATTACTAGAAGAACAATAGGATCTCACTTTTCACTTTATTTGCCGTCTTGTTTTTCTCAGGTGCAGCTCTGGTGGTTGTCTACCTTATTCTTCTGGCTCTGTATTACTTTGCTCCGTATCCAGCTGAATGCTGAGCGTGGATCATTGATTTTCACCCAAAGTTGGACTTTTAAAGCCTGAAAGAAACTGAAAGTACAAATTCAGCACCACTCCATGTTGATATATATTTACTGAATATTTGGGACTTTTAATACGTATTTAGTTTTTTAAGGTTTACTCTGAGTTAGATGATAATACTGAACATTTTGATGTGAGGAAGTTTCTTTTGTTACTGCTCAAACATGTAACTCGTACTACTGTAAAGGTTTGTAAACAGACCTCTTAGTGAACTGTGGTAAAGGGCTTTTTTTTTTTTTTAAACGCAAATGGATATCATGATGTAAAGAATATGCACTAATGGTATTTTAAGTTAAATTTAAGTTACTGTTGTTAACTTTGTATACTTTTTAACTCCAAAGTGTAAATATGGAATATGTATTTTAAGAGTTAATGAATAAGCGATATATTTTTACCCATTAATATTAATATGGTTGAAATTGCAGGACGTTCAACCAGCCACATCTCTGCCAAAGTGGCAATGAGTTCAAAGTGATAAGTGAATAATACAGTGTGTCATGGCTGACTGTGCACAGTGTAAAACAATAACAACATCTGACAACGTAATATTATGAAAAACTGGCTGCCTGTGTCTTTATTGTTAGTACAGACAGGAATTACAAAACATAATGTACATTACAGCCTTTACTGCCTGCGAGGAGACCTTTTTTTCCCAGGGAGTTTACGTGAAGTGACATGCACACCATACTGACATGCATAAGATCATTTAACTTACATTAACATCAAAAATGATGCAAGTACAAACACATCACTCTTTAAGCAACGTGGGACATCTACCAGGTGTCAACGTGCAGTGAGGCAGATATAAATAAGGCCAGAGCTCAGGAAAAAAAGTGGGATTTTGAAAGTGAACATGGGTGACTGAGTATTTCTAAAGTATACAACATTTACAGTCACAGCTAACCATCTGTTTGTGAGAAAAATCCGGAGTCTGACGACATCTGATTTCACAGAAAAGACAGAGCCTGCTGACATTTAAACAACAGAGTGAGAGTCTGATCACAGTGTTTTACATCCTGAGTATGACCGACATACTCTTCACATACCACTCTGACATTGTTCCTAGTTTAAAAAAAAAGGAAATCTCCATATTCCTCTTAGTTTGTATCACAACACTAAAGCAGAACATCGTCTAGAGAAACCAGACCAAAAGTCAAACAAACAACAATAGAGTCAATGTTACAGTATAAAACAACTTTTAGTGGAGTTAAGTTTTGAAGTGGGAACTAAAATGACAATCGGGTGAAAATAGAAAATGTAGCTACATGAACTGCTGCAGTTTAAAGTTTTGTAAAAAAAAAAAAAAAGTTAAAACAGCAGTGATAAAAATAAATAGATCAAATGTCTTTGCGCAGTTGAATAGATGATAAACCTTTAGCTGCAGTCGTGTCTCCTGATTAATTATGAGCAGAGAGGTTCAGCAACAAAAGCCTCATGTGGACAGCACCAGGTAAATCACATGGGGGGGTTATTCAGAATTGTAAAGAAACCAGTCTTTAAAAATTAATTTACAATAATATAAAAAAAACAGTGTGTGGGACATTTTGGAAATTCAGAAGGCACCGAATGAAGAAATCAAAAAGGCTTGAGAATCGCTGTGGAGCTACAAGTGTGTAAAATTCATTCTAACTTTACTAAGCTTCGTTTTCCCAAAAACAGAAGAATCCAAGAGGCACAAGAAGCTTCACTGTGATGCAACATCACAGATGTGTGAAAGAGGCTTTGGGTTTTTTTGTCTGATCACAAGCTTTAGTATTGTGACCAGTGACGAAAACATCTTCAAATCGAAATTGGCATGAAATCAGAAATTCTTCGAGGCTAAAACATGATGCTTTAGAACATTTAGACTGTTTAAGAGGTATCATGGTTATGCATCACCAGCTGTGTGACACTTTTCAGAATCTCACACTTTTCTGATTGAGCAGAAATGTTTGTGTCTTTGAGGAAACTAGTTGCAAGTTTCTCCTGTTTGAAACTTCAGTCACTTCTAAAACTTCACTACATCACAGTGGACACAGCAGCAGCTGATCGGCAGCAACGTGTCTACACTTCAGCATCGGCGAAAAACGAGCACACAGTTTTTCAGCCTCTAAGCAAAGCAACATTCATTTAGCCTTTCAGGAGGTGGTCTAAGAAACATTCATTTATTAATTATCCTGCTCATGCTCCACAAGTGTCTGCAACAGGGTTGAGTGGTAAAAAAAAACTAAAGAATGCTCGACATAAGTTATGAGCATAGCACAAGATACCTCTGAGCAACAAGCAGGTGGACATCATCGTACAGTGATTCTGGTTTACACACTGACATGCAGCTTCTGAGTGCAAACTCAAATCGGACATGTTCACATACAGAGAAAAAGAAATCATTGCACTTTGCATTTAATAAAAAAACACACATTCAGATAAGACTAAAGTTAAAAAAGGCATCCAGAGTATTTTCATCACCTTCTGACATCAGACTTCGTTTCAAGAATTGTTTTTGTCCAAGTCCTCAGCATAGATCCAATGACATACCGCTTCCTTCAGTCTTTGTGCTCGCTCTACTTGAGCCGCTGGATTAGCGTGTGTGTCAGTCCGAGGCTGAGCAGCTGAAGGGGGGACAGCTGGGCCAAGTGAGGGAAAGATTTCAACAGCTTTTCCCAGGTCAGTTCGAGCAGGCTGGGCACCACCAACCACACTTTGTACAAAGAGCCCGTCCTCTGGTTCCCTAACATGTTGACGACACCACCGTGGACGTACATACAGCCAGCCTGAAGGAGAGGGACAGTACAGGAGATCAGAGCTGCATCATTTAGTTCATTAATCAGAAACTGACAGTCAATTAATCGTTTAAGGTCATTATAATTAAAAACCTCAAAATATTCTTTGGTTTCCGTTTTATCCCGGTTAGGATTTGCTGCAATTCTGTTTTAAAATCATTGTGAAATTAATATTTTCAGTTATTCAAACATTTGAAGATGTCACCCTGGGCTCTGAGAAGTTGTCATGTATTCTTTTCTTCTTTTGTTAGATTCATGGGGTACCTGCTCTGCATGTGATTCCCAATACCAGCTTCAATTATTTCATGTGATCTGTGCCATAGAGATTTTACCCACCGGAGTGACTGCAGCACAGTGGAAGTAGGCTGGTTCAGGCATTACAGCGGGCAGCTTGGTCCACTGAAAAGTCTGCAGGTTGATCTTCCACAGGTCTGCCAGGATCAGCTCTCCATTATAACCCCCACATATAAACACATCTGTGGTAAAAACAGAGTGAGACATGGTTAAAACACAATATTTTAGTGTTTAAATTGTGTTCATGATGATGCTGTGTGGATAACTCCTTACCCTCTTTGACCTGCACACAGCTGTGACAACGCCGGGCAGCAGGATAACCTGTCGTGAAAATGACAAATCAAAGTGAATTCATTGTGAAGTTTTCGAATCCTCCAAAAAACAAGTTCACATCGATAACAAACCTAGTTTTTCATGAGGTTTGGTGACGATTTCCTCCCAGTAATTTGTCTCCAGGTTGTATGCATGAATCTGATGAGGACAAACAGTTTTACATAAATAAAATGAACAACTAAAGCTCTGTGTTTATCAAAAATGATGTCAGTGCTGGTTCCTCTCACCTTGTCCAGGGGATAAGACGTCCAGGACGTTCCACCTCCTAAAATGTATATTCTTTGTCCGTCATTAGCAAGCTCGTGTCTGTACCTGTAAAACAAAGCCTTAGCTTTCTGAACGTGTTCATTACCTTGGTGGGAACAGACAACAGGACAAACATGACCTCTGCTAACTGACCTCTCCTCAGGCAGATCCGAAGGCGTGTTGTTGGGTTTGAGGTGGGTCCACTCCCTGGTGGTCAGGTCCAGCCTGTGAAGGTCGGTGCTGTAAAGGTAGCCCGTTGTCCCTCCAAACACATAGAGGTAGCCATTTATGATGGCCATCGCCTGGAGTGTGGAAAATACATCAGATATTTTTGGGTGGAATAATCTGCAACATACACATTTAAACTGTAGCTTTACACTCAACAGCTTTACAGAGACACTGTTACCTGCCCATAGATCTTGTTGGGCTTCTTCCCTCTGCAGCTGAGCAGGTTCCATCGCCTGTACTGAACGTTGCAAACATGGACGTCGTTGCCATTGTTTTCACCAAATGGAATCCCAGTGCCACCAAACACAAGCAGGTTGTTGCCATGTAAAACAGCTGAAAGTGACACACAGCAACACAATCAGCCTCAGTTTAATATCCGGTTGAGTATTCCTGGTGAAGCTGGCTCAGGTCTACATACCGATTGAGGTTGAATGATATGCAATGATGATACTGCAGTTATGTTTGAGTAAAAGTGCAAAATGAGTGATGATTTTAGTGGAAATGGAATTTCATTTTCACAGAAAACAAATGAAATTGATGATGATTCATTTTTACTGGTGTCTGTATCAAACAAGTGTGTTCCATTAAGACCACAGATCGTAATTTATGATACAGATCGGTCCGTAGTGGATGAGAGTGTGTGTCTGTGTGAGTGAGGGGGCGGAGGTGGTCTGCAGCACATGCTTTCTGCATTGTGAACACAGATGCATCCCGGGCCTCATTGAGAGAAACTCCTCTTCAGCTGAAGTCCTCAGACCGGCTACAGTTTCATAATGAACTGAAACTGTAATCTAATCTGGTTCCTTCAGTTGCTTCAGTAACTGCACGGATTGTTTGCAGAGTCAGTTTACACAGACGACCGAGTGTCCTGAGGAGTTTTGTTGAAAAAAAAGTTTCTGTTTACATTCAACATTACTCACTTAGCATCCGTTCCCTCGAGGTCTGACAGACATGCATTTTCTACCTCACAATTACAAAGCCATTTTTTTCTTAGAAGGTTTTACAGCTGTGTTACATCAAGTGTTTTTGTTTGCAGACTTGTAAATGGCCTTTGCCGGCACAATGCTGCATTTCATGGTGCACATCCACCTGTAGCTTTGTCACCTGTGTGCACAATGACTCATTTGCGACACAATCGAGTATAGATCATCGTAGTGTCCAAACGCACCAAGGGGTTCCTCTAAAGCCGCTTTCAGACATAAGTGTGCGGTAAACTGTGCCTGGACATTTTACAGTTTGTCTTTTGGGTATAAAGAATGCAGCAGGATATTGTCTGGGTCAGACGCGTTCCAAGCAACAGGAAAATGTCTCGAACATTCAGGTAAGTACGTTTACATCTAAATTCCACTGCAGAAATCACATGTTTTTGTTCACAACACATTGACTTTGGCCTCAGCCCTTATCACCAAAAGCTTTCATATCTTGTTCTGGAAACTTTCCAGAACAACTGACTCAGACATTTGCTTTCTCACATCCAGACCCTCTGGAAAATTTGAGGAAAATGTTTAAAATTAGCTTAAATAAGACCAGTGGCTGGTTTAACTTTTTCAAATAAGCAATCTGACTATGTTATTTCATTATAATTCATTGATTCACACAGCTGCTCTGTGGGAGCAATTCTAATGAAATGAAGGACAACCCATCTGTCCTTACCTGACATAGAGGCCAGCTCTGTGGGCATGTAGCCCTCTGTGCGGACTTGTTGCCACGTGGCTGTGGCAAAATGAAACCGCCAAAGCTCCCTGAAAAGAGGGTAGTCTTCATTCTCTGACCCACCGGCCTCATCAAAGTCTGGGTTGTAGCCTCCGAACACGTACAGGTTTGTGCTGTCTGCAACACAGCGGTGACCACTGCGGGCGGGAGGTATACAGTGACCTGCAGGAGGAATAAGGTGAAGACAGACTTTTTGAGTCATTGATGTGAATGGAAAAGAACTGTAGTTTCTTTACCAAAAAATACTACGAATAAAAGACAAAGCACATGATGAGTTTTACAACATTACAGTTACAGTTTGTATTTTACAGGAGCAGGATCTCAGTCAGTTAACGGTGAATCAGCTTCACCTTCTCTCAGAAACCTGTTGGGGATCCGCAGGTTGGGGCAGGAAGGGGAGAAGATGCGTCGAGCCTGAAGCCATCGAGCCCGCTTCTTAGAGCCTGTAAATCATTCATTCATTCATCAAAAACAAGGGAAGAGTGACATAGAAGCAGAAATATGTTAAGTTTATGAACTGTGTTTTTTTCTCCTGCTCGCTGAACGGAGGAGAGGACACAACACATTCTGCAGTGTGAGGAGAGATGTGAAAGGCCAAGACTTTGTATACATGACAACTTGGATGTTAAGCAGGTCTGGTTGAACTGTAAGCATTCATATCACTCTATGTAGTAGTTTTTTTCCTATCTCACTTTCCTTTCAGTCTTGTATTTTTTATTTTTTAATTTCTGTATTTGTGTCGTGCTCTGCTGTTGAATAATTTACAAATGCAGTCATTTTGTAAATAATGGCTGTGAATTTCAGGTTACACTCATAATCCTCCCAACTACTAAGAACTGTAAGATTTGACCTTTTCTTTTAGAACTGGTTTAAAGGTTTATCACCAAAACTGGGGGATAACATTGAGAACAATCTTGTCAGAGTACATAGTCGTTAAGCATATTGCATAAAGCATATTGTTAATGATAATGATAAAACAAACTTTATTTATATGTTCTAAAAGACACTTAACGTGTTGCCTGTCTGATACAGATACACTGACCACTGTTTGTTGGCTTTAACAGCAAAGACCTCATCATCCAGACACACTGCTCTAGAATCTAGGAACAACCAGCAGAGCTCCAGGCACAATGAGGCTGATTCCTTGATGTAGTTTGGACTGAGACCATTTGATGGCGAGCAGAATCTTTAACTCAATGTTACAGGGAACAAGTGTAAATAGGTAACATGTGTGATTTTTAATCATAGCGAACATCTGGTGGTGCAGAGGTCTCATCAAACATATGGAGTTTGAGTTTTGCAGATGAACAATCACTGTTTCCTCCTCAGTAAAGCTAACACCATGTGTGCTCTGCTGCGTCTCCTCCTCCTCCTGGAAGCTGAGCCCCCTCATCACTACTTGTTCTCTCACGTGTCCATCTCCATTTAAAGACAGCAACACTAACAAAGGCTGTGTAGGTGCCTCCTGGAGGACTTTCTCCTCTCTGCTAGCTTCCGTAGCAGCTGGAGCTCTGGCCTGTGTGTTGTGGCGGTGGATGCTAAGCAGCTAGCTTGGCTAACTCGCAGCGTGAGGAGCCTCCTGGTGTCAGCGATACAAACAGAGCCACGGTTTACTCTGCTGTGACTGCGCGTGAGGAGGCAGCGGAGCGGAGCTGCTGTTTACTGACCAGAGTCTCGGGTGGAGGGCCTCCACGACAGCTTCTCAAACTTATTGAGCTGACTGCAGGTCCCGCTGTGTTGGGCCGACGACATCTTTACAGCAGCTCCACACAAACACAGAGGAGGGAGACAGAGGAGGGTCACGGCTGATCACGAACCGTGCACCGCCACATTCGATCTCAGGCTCCGACGACCAGAGCAAAGAGAAGAAGAAGAAAACACTCAGCTTCCGCCCACACCTGCTGCTACGTCACAGACAGCTGGTCTCCACTGACCAATCACAGGAGGAGAGGGCCTTTGCGTCGCTTTAAAGAGTCACGTGTTGTTGTTTATAGTTTTGAAATGGTTTTAATTGCATCCAGCAAAAGTTCACCAGTAATGCAAGACAAGATTATTACTATTAGTAAAGTACACTCCCACAACAAGGTCGTGCAAAGTGCTTCACACAGAATGTAAAAGGCTCATTGTAAAAACAACCCAAGGCAATTAAAGATAGAGTTAACTTATACACATATTTTGTGTGTATTTTTGCCAAAAATTAACTGAACTAAGTGTTTTTGAGCTGAATGTAAAACAGTTGTAGGTATAAAGATACTGTGCAAACAGTAAAATGAATATATACCAGTTAATTATAATGTTCAGTAGAGAACCAATAAAACAAGTACAGGCTTGTGCTGTTGCTAGGGTCACAAGTGAGTACACAGACAATGTGATAAAATAAATTATAATGATAATAATGAATACAATAAAAGAAAATGTTTGCATTCAAAATGTGCTCTGCATACATTTGCCCCTGCACTCTCAGGTCTTTGTTGATCAGTGTTGTAAATATTGTAATTGTGTTAATGTGTCCAGCTACATGCAGCATCTATTACACTTGTGTCTGTCCTGGGAGAGGAATCCCTCTCATGGGCCCTATGAGACAAATTGTGATTTGGGAATATTAGCTATTCAAATAAAAATTTGATTGATTGATTGATTACAACTTAACTTTATCTGTGACTTCTTTAAAGTTTGGTCCATCATAAACATGTCTGGTTTAAGTTTAACTACAAGACATGACACACTAACAGAAAACTTGCACATTTAAATCAGACTTCTAAAATTTAAACTTAAATTAAACACTAATTTGCTTTGAATAAGTACAACATATCCAGAATGCAGTCAAAAGCTAGAGAGAGAGCAGCAAAGCCTCTGCACTATAAAAAAGCTAAAGCAGAAACTAAATAGTCATGATGTGGTCAATGAGGAGACAATGTATAGATAAATGTGTCAATAAAGCTCAGGGACAGAGCTGATCTGTATTTTTAAAGACAGTCTTGATTTTGTCTCAGAGTTATTATTGCACAACTGACTGTTCATTTACTTGGACAGAAATGTGTGGTGGAAGTGATTCCTTTTGATCAAATTTGTGTCAACCTTTCCCCCAGATCTCCAGGGGCTGCTTTGCTGACATGTGGTAATCTGGAATTGAAGATCAATGGGACTGGTTGAACGAGCAACACAGAACAGGGAGATCAATCAACCCGTAGAAAGCTAACATGACTTATTCTCACTGGCTGTAAGATAGTCAAGACTCGTCTCAGTGGTAATATTAATGATCAAATGTGATTTTTTTCCCTGCAGTTCACATGGTTAACACAACACCAAAACGCATTTCAGCCTGTATGTTACTATGTTCATGCACTTGTGTTAATGTTTAACATTTAAGGCCCTCGCTGCCTGTCCAGACCCTGTAGTAGTCATAGTCAAATAACTATTTGCAAACTGTTTGTGTTCGGATAGCAGTGCATCAATCATTCAGGCAGAAGTAACTCAGAAGCACACTATGTTCCTTCATACATTTACTGAATTACAACTGGTGTCAGCTCAAGCTTTACATATGAAACATAGAGTCTCAGTATCAGTCGCTCAGGAAATGAATCATTACTTCACACAGACGGTCACTTAGTAGACTGACAGCGAGTAGGAAATGAAGTCAGAGCTTGACATGTCACAGACATTAAGAAAATCCTGAACAATGAGCTGCAGCTGCATTAATGAGATTAACAGAGAGATGAGTCGTCAACATTTTGTTCCATCCAGTGATCTACTCATGGATCTCTGGAGGTCAGCACTTTATACAATCTCATCCAAGTAATTTATACAGTGATAAGCGTTATTGATTGGGGGATTCAAAGTCATTGTTTGTTCATGGGCGAGAAGATTACAACTGATAACCCATTGATTCTACTATGAATCATGTTGGCAAAGCTATTTTTAATCTTTCATGTAAGACGTTCTAAACAAATTTCTTCTTGATGGTTTGTGTTAACCTGCAAACAGGAAATCACTTTGAGAGAAAGGACTTCAAAAAAAGGGAAACTCACATATTAAGATTAACAGATACATGTTCACGGTTGTAGAACAAAGTTGATCAAAAAAAAATATTTTAAGTGAAAACAGAGAAAATATGATCATTTTAAAATTTTGTATGGATACATTTCTTCTTTACACACTTTATTCATATGAGGCCAAGGTTTTGTACCGTGTTTACCTTTTTTTATAGTCACATTGACGACTCTCATCTGGGCTCCGTGTGGCTGCAGAAGCAAAGTTTTGAGATGAATCGCACAACTACATCCCGATAACAAAAGGTTTTGGTACATTACTGGTTTATGTTTTATGAGAATCAAGAGGTCATGTGATGATCACCCTTATCTCAGGTCTCAGACAAGTTGACTTTACTTGACATGAAAACAGAATCTCAGCTGAAGAGAACTATGTGTGAGATGATCTTAAGTGACTAATGCACTTTCTGAAAACAATGGATTAACAAGCATACTTTATTTCTGCACTCCATGACGATTATCTACTAAGTTAAACCAATTTTTCAAATCACCCTCAATATGCAAAGAAGGGAGGGATTAGACAACAGAATGTGAATATAAAGAAACACAACGGCAATATGATGCAATCAAATAAAATAACAGTACATATGCAGCTTTCCAGACAATCTGAGTGCAGATATTGATACGTGATGACTGAAATTTGGCTTCAGTGCATTTAATTTCCATCATTTTCACTTTATTTTATAAATGTCATAACTAGTATTTATTTATTAAGAGGCTAAAATCCCCCAGTCACTGTTTATATATATATAACGATTCATTTCATTGGTGGACACAGACTCACTGTTAGGGAGACACAACTTTGGCCTTATGTGCTTGTTATTGAATTAAAAAAAAAAAAAAACTCATTTCCCCATAGATCTGTGCGTGATAGAAAAGCACACACTTCACCTTTGAGCCATCTGTGATCGGCTTCTGCAAAAAACAAAAACAACCCAGAGGCAACAATCGCTTCTTAAAATGCGAATCTCCGCAGGATCGAGCACGGCGGTTGTATTCCCGTTCACAAATACGCTGGAACCGGAGCAGCGGTCGTGTTCTGTGACGTGTGTTTCTGCACCTGGGCCCCTCCTCTCGTCGCCGGGGGTTGATGTCACTGGCAGCAGCAGGGTGCTCCGGACAGGACGCGAGGAGTGTGGGTAGAGCCGCGCACACGAACCCTGGAGATCCACGGTGAGAGGAGGGGAAAGTGGGCGATGTTGCAGCCTGTGTGTTGTTTATGGACGTTTCGGGGAGGCTGCTGATACGGTCCGTCCACGCTGAGAGTCGAGTCCGCAGGATTTTGTAGATCACTTCTTCAAAAAAAAAAGGAATACAAAAAAACCCCCAAACATGTCGTCTCCAAGTCCGGGCAAGAGGCGAATGGATACCGACGTGGTGAAACTGTATCCTTCCTAGATCATAAACAAGCCGAAATAACCAAAGCTAACAGGCTCGTCATGTTTTTACAGCCAGTGTCATTGCTCTGCGGTGGATTAAACGCACAGTTTGTCCACGGTTGATGTGGTAGAGATGTGTAGGATGTGTTTCCTGGCTGTTAGAGATGTGTATGTTTGTGAAAAGTGTCTAACGCCGCGATGTAAAGGGGGCAGCTCTAACGTTAGCTGCCTTAAGTTAGCAAAATAGCAAAGGAAGCTACACGTTGACTGTTGTTTGTGTGGCGTTACTTGCCCGTTAGTTAGCGTTAGCATGCGAATACATTAGTTGTATGTTTTTTACTTGTTTGCATCCATTTGTTATCATCTGTGGAATCTGCCGCTACACAGACCAGCCTGCCCGAACTCTTGTGTTAGCTGTTGGACGTCGCTAGCCTTAGCTCGGGGATCGGTACAATAGCCTCTTAGCTGTAAATATGAGCTCACATCGGACTGACAACACAACATGAAGGATAATCGGAGGCTTCTTTACATTTTGGAAACACTCATTTGGAAAGACACGTCCACGTATTTGTGTTTTCAGCCCCGTTCACGCAGGGGAAGCTAGCTGTGTAGCATGCTAATCGCCAGGAGAACAAATGAGGTCGGTGGAGCGTAGCAGAGACGATCTTTGGCAAATGATGAAGTAGAGACACAACTACTTTTAATAACATTATATAAACAGACTTCGATACTTTGGGCTTTGTTATCCATTGATGCCTGGATACGAGGATCTCACAATGTGAATATAAACAGGATGCAAATTGTGTTTTTGCTGAATAAGTCACGGTTTGCGTGTTTACAACATGTTATACAGTAAAAACAATTCTAAGATAGAATCATTCTAGATTTCAGACGTTGAGAGGAGAGGTGGGTGAAAGGCCAATGATACGTTGTCCTTTTTAAAATACAAGTGTTTTCATCAACCTCGCTCTCTTTGTGGCAGGATTTCAGATTACACGGTGTTTCAAAGTGTTGGCTGCTGACTGCTGCTCACTGCTGCTGCGGTGTGGTGTGTGTGTCGTTGTGTTGCTCCTCGTTAGTCGCAGTTTGCTGCTGAAGTTTGCTTGAACGCTTTAATGACAGCGTGAGCTGCATTGTTTTGTTTTTGTCCTGCAGCGAGATGCTGCTCTCTGATTGGTCGGCCTGTTACCATCCGGAACATGGCAGGGGGCGGGGCTTCACACAGCTGATCGCGGAACAACAAGCGTGCTGTCCGGGGCACGGGGGGCTGGGAGCATGAGGTCCACGGCGGGGACAGGGCGTGTTGTTTTCGTCCTCGCAGAACCAGGGTCATCTAAAACAATTGGACGATTAGTTGATTAGTCAATTTAGTCCGTGGGAATGATAATGTTTCGATCATTGTTTCGATCATTCTGTGTCGTTTCAGATTGTGAAATGTGACGAGTACATGGTGTTTTCTGTTTTTATGTAAAGTTTAGTCATCTTGAGGTTGTTTATCAGACAAAAAACGCCATTTAAAGACGTCACCCTGGCCCTGGCTTGGGTTCTCACAATTTATCAACTAAACGATCAGTTGAATAATCAGAAATGTATATTCACATCTTATTGTTATTGAAAACAACACGTTTTGCAGCCATGACAACACAGATATCTAGTAGTGCTTCATTCCTCTGTCATTGAGTATGTTCAAGTTAGTTGTTAATCTATTTGTGTATTTACAGTCTTTTAACCAATACCTAATTATTTAAAGTTTAAGTATTTTTTAGACTTGAACACAATCCGTATGAAAACCGACAAATTGACCTAATGACACAAAGATGTTGATTCCAGGATTTACTCGTATTAATTCAATATTTTAACACTTCCTCTTGTTTGTGTTCAGGTAAATAGGTACATTGTTTTATTTTGTGTGTATGCATTTTAAAGCATATTTATCAAAGGTGTGATCATGAACATACAGTCTTGTCGTTAAAAGACACAAACAAGGAGAAAGTCACATTACAGTAAGTGTTTTTGTTTTTCTTTGATGTGATTATAAAATATGGATGAGAGATCTATGAATAGACATCAGGAGTCACTGAGGAAAAACACATTTTCATCCCACAGTTCATGCATCTGTGGATCTTACTCCAACACTTTCCAAACCTGGTGTTTTAACAGAATATATCGTAGTCTCATGTTGTGGCTTTAAATCACATGTGTTGGATTAGAACAGCTGATTCAGGCCACAGCTATGTCACCATCCTTACTAACATCACTATTGTACACATGTACATCAGGCTGAACCAGATTTACTGCCATGACTTTACTGCAGGTGAGGAAATTACATTTCTTTGATTATATAAATGGGCATAGAGCCAACAAAGCACAATGTCATGAGAAGTCAGTGCTCTGAGAGCTTTAGTCCAAATAAAGCTTTTCCCTTGTGCACTTCCTTTACTCTTGAGTGAGCATATGCCTGGTTTCTATGGATAACCCTCGGGGAAAGGCAGGACGGAGAGATGGCCATTTTTACTGCACAAGCCTGCTTCTATAACATGTTTTATTTGTAAGAGCCATCCCATCACATTCAGAGCTACCTTATCTTCTTGGTCAGTGGTTTGAAAGCCTTTTTCTTTGAGTGACTGAGGTTTTAAAACTTTCTTCTGTAAAATATAAATTATCTTGCAGAAATCTTGTGTTATTAATCCGCTAAACTGGCATCATAGCAGTACCATGCTTAGTTTGTTGGGATGGAGATGACAGAAGGATTTATGACAGCATGGTGAAACAGGGTGTAACAGTTCCGTCTGTTTTTTGAATTTCCACCCGTCATTGAGTCAGTCTCATGGCCGTTGACTGAATACACTCGACCTTTCTGTGTTGCGGTCACACAGTTGACTCAGTTTCGCGTCTCTTGCTGTCGCCACATGCTGCAATTATGACACATCCTCTCCGCCCAAATCGGAGCTGGAATTAACGTGAAAACATGAGAGTTTACATCAGTCAACAAGTTTTAAGATCAATGCACACAGCATCTCAATGTTTGGTTGTTGATAGACCCTCTTCTAATGTCTGTACCTTCAGTGTTGTTTTCCTGTTCCAATACGTTTATTAACGATAATGAACTATGGTCACCCTCCACACATTCCTTATTTTGTCTAATTACTTTTTCTGGAATTTGACAAATTTGGAATGATTGATGTGTGATTATTATATAGTGTGCAGTGGAAAAGTTCTTATTCTTCTTTAAGTTCTGTTCCTCTGTCCTGACTCATTATGAAGTTGTTTTGTTGCTAAGGAGAGCCCTTGTTTGTTGTCTGAGAGTGGCCGTTGCATTATTGATTTCACCGCCTCATGTTATTGATCCTACGTTTAACTTCTGCCCCAGACAAGTACACACAGAGTGAGAATCTAAAATGTAGACACAATGGAAATATGTTTTGTTGAAAAAATGTGTTTGCTGTTTGGGTGCTTCTTTTCCTAAACCACACGTTCAGTATTGAGAGCAAGCACGAGGTCACGATCCTCAGTGGACTCAACGAGTTTGTGGTCAAGTTCCATGGACCACCTGGAAGTAAGACCCCTTCAATTCTCACATTTTCACATTCATTCGCATTTACCACATTTTGCTCTGTGAAATATCAATCCTCTTAACTACCTCTTGGCAATAAAGCTAATACACATGTTTTCCTAAGGAGTGTGTTAGTTTTCAGAATATTTTGATCAACCTCACTTTTTTCCAGCGCCATATGAAGAAGGCGTGTGGAAGGTTCGGGTGGACCTGCCAGATAAATACCCCTTCAAATCTCCATCAATAGGTATGAAATAATCATCGATAATCAAGTCTTGTGCTGAATCTTGCTGAACGATATAACTGGAATATAACTTTGCCCATCACTATCGTTAAGTGTACTGTTAGTGCTGTCAAACTGCATCATAATTAAAACTTTATTTTCCAGGATTCATGAATAAAATCTTTCATCCCAACATTGATGAAGCGTAAGTAGGACTTTTTAAATACATTTCTTCTTCTTCTTTATTGTTGCTGTGCCCAAACTCTGCTGCTTCCTTTTGTTTTGACAACCTCTGTGAGGCTCTTATTGTGTATGAGTCTCAGTGTTGTGTTTTGTCGTCTCTCAGGTCAGGCACAGTCTGTTTAGATGTCATTAACCAGACTTGGACAGCTCTCTACGGTGGGTCACAGTCACTGCTCTCATTGCGTCACAGCCTTATGTAGTTATACCAGTCACTCGGTTAAACAGTAAGGGCCAATAAATCAACACGAAGTGAGCAGCGTGCACGTCGACAGGAGAGCTGCCTCCAGAGCATCTTGGTTTAATCGGCTTACACTTGAGTGATAGCTGCCTCTTGTATTGAGGTCATAGTCACAGATTAGAAGGTGCTGAGGCTGAGAAGACTCTGAACAGGATGTAGCGAACACACTACCGTTGTTTATTTCTGTTGTTCATGTGAAACTCTGATAAACAGGCCCACGTTTCGGAGATGGCTGAAATCATATCAGAGGGCCAATCAGAGCAGGCTTCATCAGAAAGGTTCAAGTAATAACCCAAATAAAAATATGAACCTGACATGAGCTTCATTTGTCTCCCTTAACATTTAAAACCAAAGCCATAATGTGTAGGAATTGTTTTGTTTTTTAGTGGAAGAAGGTTCAGCTGTAAACAGGATGACTCGGTTATGTAATGAAAGCAAGTCCAGCTTGTTGTAACTTGTGTGGGTTATTTTATTTTATTGTGTACTGACTAATCTTTCTCCCCACATCCACCAGACCTCACCAACATCTTTGAGTCGTTCCTCCCTCAGCTGCTCGCCTACCCCAACCCCATCGATCCTCTGAACGGAGATGCAGCCGCCATGTACCTGCACCGACCAGAGGATTATAAACACAAGATTAAAGGTAGCACACAAGTTTCTTACCACATAATTGTTAAATAGTGGATATACAGTTGAAATAATAATAATACAGTTTAGTTTTAGTTTTTAGATTTTGATTTGTTTGATACGGGCAGATACTGAAATAAGTGAGATACCGATACGATATTTCGGCTGATAAAAAGATTTGGCAGATGTTATAAAGCCCCTAAAAAGAAATGTTTACAGACATTTTACAGTGTAACAATAAACTTTATTATAGATAAAAAGAAAACACAAATACATCAAACTGTATAGAACTTGAATTAGGAAATTATTTTCTAACATATAAACACAAATGTACATATTGTCTGCATTATTTATCCTTTTAATAAGTAAACAAACACAGAGCGATATATCTGACGAAATATGAATCCGTTGAGGTCTACCTGAAATCACCTGACACTGTGTGAAAGTAGTAGAAGCTGCTCTGTTGTTGCTAAGTTACTGTGAACACCCCATGGTCAGCCATCTCTCTCCCTCGTCGTGTTTTTCTTTCAGAGTACATCCAGAAGTACGCCACAGAGGAGGCTCTAAAGGAGCAGGAGGAGGGAGGGGGCGACTCTTCCTCCGAGAGCTCCATGTCAGACTTTTCGGAGGACGAGGCTCAGGACATGGAGTTGTAGTGAAGGGGGGGGGGGATCCCGCCCACTTCACCTCACAACAGACTATTATTTCCTAAAGAGCAGAAAAACTCAGTACTATATTCATATTTAAGACAATTTTTTACAGCAAGACAAACGATTTTTATTGCTACACAAGGATTTGCAGTGTGATATCGCTGAATATTAACCCTTACTTAGGAATTCACGACCGCCTGCCCCCTCCTCTTCACACCAACAGCTTAGAAAGGAGTTCGTCATTCAATCCCATGATGTCCTGAGCAGTGAGACCAACTGGGAGCAGGACTGTGATCGAAACACAACTAGACTGTTTACACTCTGTTTCCTCTTTGGATCCACGACCTGCAGCTCATCAGCTCTTCTGTTGTAACACGCTCTCGTTTTCTTTTTTTAGTTTTTATCCAACATTTCATTTAACTCGCTCACAGACGTCTGCAAATCCCAATCCATTATTTCTAAGCAGACTCAAAATTCAGAAGAGCACCCCCCCCCAGAGGCTAGACCCCAGAGGATCTACCATTACAATCATCACCCCTAAGGAGCTGAGGACCAGAGGAGCTAAGGACCTGAGGACCAGAGGACCTGAGGACGGCGTGGCTGCGGACGCTCTCCCAGCTGACACCTCACACACACCATCAAACAACCAATGCATCAACCATAAAACGCCAGTGTGTGTTTGTATGTGATCCAGGGAGAAGCATGGCGTTTTGATAACCTGTGTCGCAATGACCACTGACCACTCAGCAGAAGTGGGGGACAAGGTTCATGATCCTGATCTTCTCATTTTCAACACCATTCCCCTCCTCCTCCTCCTCCTCCTCCTCCTCCTCCTCCTCCTCCTCTCCGTTTTAGGAAAGTGTTTGTCATTCTCTGAGTACCTTTGTATATTGTGGCATGACACAGAAGTGAAGTTTGTGTAGGGCTTTGTGGAGCTGTAACGCTGTAGACATGAAGAGGATGCCTGCGTCTTCTGTGAGCCGGGCGGGGTTTGTCGGGGGATTAACCAGTTCCTTGTTGAATTGTTGAACTTCTTACATTTGCCTATTGCTTGTGTTGAACTATAATAGGTGTTTGACTTGCGTAGGGATAGTTAGTTTTTTTGCGGGTGGTGAATTCTATCATAATGTATGGTTTAATACTTAATGTAACCCACTAGTTTAAAGACTAATGTCCTGTGAAGATGAGAAGAGTTAATACATCTTTGTCTGTGGGATAACTCTGATGAATCAAATCCTGCAAAGACGTGTTGCACCCCTGCATCCCCTTCTTATGCAAATCTGTCCCTAGAAGATGATTTACGTTGTCAGACAGAAGTGCTCTTTGTTTCAGCCATTCAACGCTGTCGCATTTCCTTTTGTCGTGCTGTTGATGGTCTGTTGTTTTCCGAGATGGCGGGACCAAATTATAACAAATCTACAAGCCTAATTTTTTTTATATATATATATTTCTCCCCGAAAAAAGAAAAAACATGCAGGAATTCCTCCTCAGACTCGATTTGAGAATAAAGTGTTAGTGTTTTCAAAGTGTCAAACTCCTGCGTGGCCATCTCCGATGAGTTAAAACTCAAAGCACAGGTTTGTTCTTTTTCAGATTCATAGCTTTGGTCCTGATTTAACCCTGAAAAGGTTCACGTGTCTGTCAGCAGTTGTGCAGAGGAGGTGTTAAGAGAGAAGTGACAGTTTGCTGTTAAATTTCCTGACCGTCTGTGTTATGCAGCCTCCAAGCCTAATACTTGTTTGCAGCGTGCACTCAATGCACCGCAGACCTGTGTGTAGTTTTTGTTGTTTCTGTAAGAAAGCAAAAGTTATCTTACTTCATCACCATCAACATGGGCTATTCCTTCCTGTTTGGAGAAAAAAAAAGGATTATAGTCAAACTTGAATTAATAAAAAATAATCCCTTTATAATTTTTTTAATGATATCAGGATCTCTTCCACGGTGTCTTGCAAGAGGGTTTACCTTCATTTGAGAATAAGATAGGTTACTAAAACCAGCATGTCACAGTTTTTGACATGGAATTAAAATGTATTTGTTAAATAGTTAAAGTGGCTGGATTTAGCCTTGGTAACCAAATATATGTTGGTGTAAGTCTTAGGAAGACATGATACAGTCAGTTCTCACAAAAACAATCCACTGTCCAGCCTTGTTGTTTGTCATCATCTGGATTCATCAGTGTATTATGTATTTTTTATTAATGAGACATATATCTGATGCCTATTATTTGTTTGAATGTTTTTATTTTTGTCTTTTAAGCCCGATGTCCAAGACACAAGTCAAGATATCCCAGATTTTTTTTAAAAGGCAAAAAATGAATAAATGTGCTTCCCTTGTAACTTGGAGAAAGAAATAAAACAAGAAAAAATAAACCAGAAATGTCGATGCTACAATTCTGTTTATGATGCTGTGTCAGATGTGCTGTGGTCAGAAAATGACTGTTTCCGCCTTTAATTTTTAGATTTTCTGAAAACAAAGACTAGTATATACTCGGGCCTTGTGGCACAAGTCACATACAGAATGAATTTACAGTCATGTGGTGGAGAGAAGTGGTTTTATTCTGGGAAATCCACACCAACTGAATGATTGTTACATTTGTCTCTCTGGCCACTAGATGGCAGCGTTGTCCTTCAGACACGAAGTTACAAACGCTAATTTCTGTTTTTGCCTCATTTCTAACACCTTTACCTTTAAATATATAAACGTATGAAATCACATTGCTAAGGTTTAAATGACCCAGCTCCATATGAAATGTTTAAAGTACATTATTATTATTATTATGTCTGCATTGAGACATTTTGACACGTCAGTAGTAAAATAAATAAATAAAAGCAATGATGTTGAATTCCATTGAGCTGCTTCAGTTTCAGGTTCCTGGTGTTCCTGCTGCCTCGTTGTCACACTGGGACACTTCTACAGAACAGAACGTTTGCAGGTGTGATGCCTGTTATTAATGACGAGTTAAAAAAACAATCAAAACATGGAACAGTAGACATAAAAAAGTTTAAATACTGACATGCATATTATATTTTTGGAATGAATATGTGCTGTATATATATATGATTTTAGTCAGTAAGTCAAAGTGTGGATAAAGGTGGGTTCTGACCCCACAAAACTTTCTAAGAATTAAATTATTTTTTTTATGCTAAGTTCTGGACTTTTCATGACAGAAATGGATTTGACACAGTTAAAAAACAATAATGATGAATAAATAAAAAGCCCACGCACATGAGATGCTGGAGTATGATGCTCTTTGACAGACACAGGCAGACAATAATGATCTCATGAAATATTCATAGGTGTGTGGCCATCGAGCCTCTTTCTGTGCAGGTTTCCTGTTTCACTTTAATTTGGCGTGAGGTTTGCAGCGTATCGCCATGCTGTGTGTGTGCAGATTATTGAAACACAAACTTATTCTTATAGCCGGTGCAACAATGATGATCTGCTCCATGACCAGCTCCTGTATGAGAATGATTTTCAGTTCTGTGTCTTAAAGTATATTTTCCTCATCTGTTTAAGTTTCGGCAAGAAAAAAACAAGGGAAAGGGTTAAAAAAGTAAGAGAAGGTACAAAAAACATTAATAACTTCAGATTTGGAAAATGACCAGAGACAAAACTACAAAGAGGAAAATAAAAACGTTTATTTCTACTGGGGGGTCTTCCTCTGCAGGAGGTGGTGGGGTGCCCAGGGCCCCATTTCTTCATTATCAGTCCATGTCTGCAGCAGCTATGAGGTACAGTCATTAATTTAACAGTGTGATAAAAACAACTGTATAGATCTATGGTATCATTATGAAATACAGAAACTGGTTAATAGTTGATGTTATTCAGATGATAAACTGTAACCGTCAGTGTGGAGCTGCTTTTTGAAAGGTTCAACAACTGTAATCCACCAATTACTGATGGAAACGAGTGAGGATGAGTTTCCTGACCAATAAATCATTGATATCAGAGGTTTTATTTGAATAAATAAAGTCCTGTGTCACAGTAAGTCGAGCAGCAGCAGCAGGCTGCTGGCCGGCTGCGCCTCCTTCATAATGTATGGAGAGGACAAAGGGTGACCGGGTGGATTTCAGCGTCAACTTTGAAAAGAGCCGTAACCCAAACCTGTCCTGTGGCACCATGACGGCTTCACGTCAGCTGAAAGGATGATGCCTCCTTTTCCACTTGCAATCTGGCTAATAATCACCGACAGCAGGTAAATGAGCCCTGCACTCACCTCAGGCTGCGCGTATAAAACGAGGAGCTGAGGAGGCCATGGGCTCAGAGAAACTCCTCAGTCCCGTGAAGGGATGAGAGAGGAGGAGGGGAAGAAAGAGATAAAGGGAGGGAGGGAGAGAGAGGAGCGACCAGCCTGCCTGCAGAGAGATGCCACACCCGGTGGATGCTGGTATGTCTGTTCAACAGGGTTGTATATAGGATGCTGTAGAGGATTTGAAAGTGAACCATTTTTTCTTCTGTTACAATCTGCTTTGTTTCAGGGTTTGTGTAATATAGAAAATCTACTTTAAATTTTTTTTTTTTTTTTAATAATTCCAAACTGTTATTAGCAGCAAAGAGGTTTTTCAGTTTCTCTGGCCATCGCCACCGCAGTGCGCGTCCTGTGCGTAAAAGGCGCAGAGGAAACGCGCTGCAGGCCTGTTTCTAATAGAGGCGGCAGAAGGAGAGGGAGGAGGGTGGCTTGGATTACTACTCTGGCACTGGGTTAAGACGCTTACCAACTAATTACCTGTCCACTAGCAAATCCCCTGCCAGGCAGACAAGCAGGGAGCCGGGCGGGAAGGAGAGATGGAGATGTGGAGAGTAAAGCGACTCTGAGTGGAGCAGCAGCGGGACGAAGAAGAAGTTTAAAATACTAAAAAGTCAGCGCAGTTCATCCGGATGAACGAGCATCGCATTTCTCATCCGTGGTACAGTTCAGTGACTGTGCGGTTGTGAGGATGTTCTGCTGCTGGGTGCGTATGGAGGCTCAGTTAAGAAGTGTCTTCTGGTCCTTTTCTAACTTAAGTGGTGTTGTGAACTGTGAGGATGAGGGATCTGCTTCAAGGTAAGAAGAACACTGCATGTTAAGGTAAACCTTTCTGAATGCATAGGCTATCATCCATATATATCATTATAATCAGTACGGGTCACCACGAGGTAAAAAAAGTTCTTTCAAAATTATGAGTTCATGTTTTCATTTTAAGCAAAAACGTATTATATGATGTAAAGATGTGAGGACTTTATTCCAGGAAGGCGACTACAGAAGGTGTGTATCCTCCATAGAGCCTTGAATATAACAGCATCTGATTCTGTTGAACATTTTCTATCCAACACTCATCCCCAACTAATCATAGAAAATAGAGGGATATGAGATATAAGGAGAAACAAACAAACATGCGACTCAGTCCTACAATTAGTTTTTTTCTGTTTATTCTCTCTCCCTTTCTCTCTCTCTCTCTCTCTCTCTCTCTCTCTCTCTCTCTCTCTCTCTGTCTGTCTCCAGCTTTTTACTCTATTGATCTCTCCCGGAAACGGGAAGATGAGCCCCGCATTGGGACCCATTTGGAGCATCTCAAAAATCACTTAGCGCATCATTCCCTACAGCCAGAATCAATCTGAGCGGCAGAGCTGCTCCTTCACCAGGAGCGAGATCAGGGTCTGGCTCACACGGAGGCCAGAAATTGTCTCAAAAATATTTGAACCACAACAACAATCCAATGGTAACTTTTAGAGGGGTGCAACTACAGCCCTAAGAGGATTTGCTTAAAGAATACGGTGTGGACTGAGAAACAACCACAGGCCGGTACGAGCCGGCTGCAGATGGCAGGTTGGATTGACTTCCCATCCAGTAAGGTAGACATAACAGAATCATTGATTACAACAGTGATTATGATTCTATCTGCTCACTTCCACTGGACTGACAAGACAAGAAAAGCAGTGAAGATGTTCAGGTTTTGATTCAGAGGCTGTTGGCATGAGTGGGCCTGCCCTCATATCTCCTCCTGTTCTGTGTATGGCACTGGTAGAATTCACTGTCACAGCACACAATCAGTGAATTACCATAGGGCCATAAACAGAGTAGAGACAGATCCATCGTGTCCACGTCCAGATTCTGCTTTAACTTCAAAATGTAGAACAACAGACGGATCCAGTCGTAACCATTTTAAAAGACGCTTCCCATCTTCTTTGCCCATTTTGGCACTAGCACATTTTTGCTTTGTTTGTCGTACTTTGAGCAATCATGTGTAGTGCCAATATCGGACGAGACAGATTCTCAGCTGCTCATAAACATCTTTTTCTGTGTGAGAGAAACACCCAGACAGTAGAGGGAGGGAAGGATGAACGATGGATCCGATCGATTGTGCCGTGCATCTCAGATATCAACGGTTGCGATGGAGGCCCTCCCCTCGTGCTCTATCTCTGAGACGCTGTCCCATGTAACCTGAGCCTCAGCCATCACACAGATCTGGTGGCGTTGACTCTCCCACAGTGTTTGGCAATGGTAGAACTCACTCTGGTGGGCTGGAAGGATCCGGTGGTTCTAGACTTGCCAACAACTGACCGAGAGCTTTTTACCATTTGGCCCTCGGCCATCGTCCCAGGACCCATCACACAAGGAGGACGATTCTGTGTCCAAATGTCTTAGTGGCAGGTTTGGGGTGTAAAGTAAGTGTACAACAAACCACAGAAGAAGATTAGCACAAGTCCAGTGAGTCTGTTCGTTAGAAAAACATCAGAGGACATTACAGTTCCTCTTTGTCCTGCCTCCCTCAGATGTATGGCGTCCCTCAGGGTTGTCTCGGCCACACTTAGCTGATCATGACATCAAACCCTGAGTGTAATCTTAGACCTCAGACACTGAAGGTATGGACCAGAGGAGACCTTTGACTAGCCGGCCCAAACCCATAAATCCATACACAGACCATTAAGCACTGACCTGACTATCATCTGCCCTGATCAATAAATCAATGGTGTTCATGTGTTTGGCTGTGGAACCAGCCTGTGGTTGTAAACCCTCAGTGTTGCTGTCAGCGGCGACAGCTCAGCTCGTGGTGCAACCGGATCCTGTTCAGTCACAGAGGGTTTGAGTCGAGGCGCTGCAGAGGTTCAACACAAGTGATGTTAGTGCTGCGTCAAACCATTAAACCCAAAAGATGCATCAGTACATTAGGGATGCAGCATTATTAAGTCCTGTTGTTTGTATCAACCAATCCTGCTGCACTTTACAGCAGCTACCATTAAGGTGTCATCCTCAGTGTTGTTTCTGGGAATTTTCACTCCAACACAAATTACACACAGTTTAAACCTGGTTCTTATCACTTATCAGTTACACATGCTCAAACATCAATCCCCGAACCATGTCTGATTAGTTTAGTCAATATCTTTAAATGATTCTTTAGGAAAAAGGGGAAAGCATGTGATAATCCATCGAACAAATAAACAAAAAAACTTACCAATGAAGATGAAAACATTGCCTCCTCGGTGGAGGTAAATAAAAACAAAAATATGTCCCTCACATTAGCCTCAGAAATTTTAGGGAGAATTAAAAGCAAAAACATGTAGAAAATGTGTGAAAAAAAAACTGGAAACTGAAACACTTTGATCAACAGCTTCTAACATCCTGGTGCTATTTCTACTTTCTGGAAAACACTCAGTGGTTTTCTATTAAAGATAAAATCTCATTTAATGTGTATAAAACAATGAACACATTTAGGAATTGTCTTTGGATGCAACCTTTAAAGTTCTATCTTGGATTTAAACATTTTATGAATGAATAGAATGGCTCTTAGTAAAGCTTAAACCCAACATTCCCCTTAAATTCAATCAAGATGGACCCAAAAAACATTTTAAAAAGCCCCATCATGCAATGTTAAAGAAAGTTTCTAAATAAATCCTGGATCTAGTCCTTGAAACTTCACCTAAAGTGAATGGGTTCTCCACTGGCTCATACGCCACCCTCCACAGATTTTGCGTAATCCTCCTAGAGGATAGACAAACAGCAATGACACATAACCTCCTCGGTTACGTTTTATTCTGTGTTAAAGATTAACAACAGGTTGAGAATATACTTCAGGGAACTACAACAGGAGTGTATTTAGTTGGAGAGCAGCAGGGGTCAGGAGGAAGACGAGAGGAAGGCCAATCCCGGATAAGAAAGAGAAAATCTACGCAGTTTAGAATAAATCGAGAAATGATCCGCAGTTTAAACAAAAGTAACGAACAATCAAACGAGGAGCAAACGTTTCACTGTGTCTGTGAGGAGTTAGTCTGGTTTGGGGCTGTCTGAGCAGCGAGCGGCTGATATGCGTTGATCGTGTTTCAGTACGAATGTGATGAGAGTCCATTATGGCCGCCTGCAGAGGATGTGAGGTTAAGTGGTGCCAGTGGACGCAGAGAGAGGAAGGAGGGAGGGCGGCACACTGACAGCTGGTGCGAGTGATTAGACCTTGTAGTGATGCAGAGACGGCATCAAAGCTCTTTAGGGAGAATCCCTGAACAGGGAGGAGGCAAGGACACACACACACACACACACACACACACACACACACACACACACACACACACACACACACACACACAACTCCCCCTCTGACCAGTGGTAATACAAGAGAATGAGGGGTGTCGTTAGATTAGATCGGGTGTGGGAGTTAATGGATCCCCTCATTAATCTCTTACACTAATGGCTGTTTATCTGTGTGTCAACTGTTCCTTTGCATTGCTCGTGTTGCTTTGTCTGTTACAATAAAGATATTTCAAACAAAAATCAACTGCCTGGTGAGTTTCAATTCATAGGATTGTAGTTCACGATACAACAGAGAGGAGGTGAACTGCAGAAGTGATGAAAGGTGACCTGAAAGTCAGAAAACTGAGCCAGAGTTGGCTCCTGATTTATCGTTGAACTGATTTATTTATTGTCACTGTGACGAAACGTGAGGCGGTAAAATAGAGAAGTTTTAATAATCAGAGAGAGGAAGAGGAGGAGGAAGAGGGACTGGTGGTATATGTGACTCACCTTCAGTCTGATGTCCCACAAAAATACAGTGAACAGGTCAGTAAGGACCTTCAGACACACACACACACACAAACACAAGGAGGTGCTGGATTACAATAATCCAGGAACAGGGGGGTATTTTTAGTTCTTCATGATCAGAGACAGACAGGATGCAGCAATCGAGGAAAACAGATAATGATTCTCATACGACCGGCAGTTAATTACGTAGCGTCTAGCAGGAGCCCACTCTCATGTCGACAGCTGATGAAGCTGCTGTCAGTATCAGAAAGAGTTTCCTGAACTGATATTAAAACAAACTACAACTTCAAATGGCTTCAAAACAACCTGACTTATCATTAAAATGAATCTGAACTGTCGATGATACAATTTGAAGAAGTCACTAAAATGAAGAGCTATGATATAAATGAAACTAATGATTATTTTAATTGTTCATTTCCATGAAGAGATTTTCAAACTGATTTTACAGCAGAGAGAAAGAATAATCAATGACACAGACAATTTCTCCATTCATCAATCATGTGTTGTTTCCAATCTACACATGATGATGGGATTAATTGTTATTGATAATATCTATACTATCTACATATTGTAAATCTTGGTCATGTGGACCCTGTGGGGATCCATGTTGTCTATTTCATGTTCTTTCAGTTTGTATCACAGAATCAATAACTGGAATCTGTTTCCACCATTAAAGTCATTTTTCTTACCAAAGCTCAGTCTGGACATTTTTTATTTAAGTGGATATTTGTATGTTTAAATGCACAGCACCCCAAACACAGATCACTGTGATGTATGTTTACATCGTCACATCATGGAGAATTTTCTTAATCCCAGTTTAAATTTAGGGTAAATACGCTCCTTACGCCCCCTAGAGGGAAAAACAAAAATAATCCCATAATTGGATTGATCATTTGAACCAATTTTCATTATTTTTAGAGTTTAAAAGGAAACAATCTGTATTTTATGGAAGCCCATTTCTGCCACTGTGATGAAAAAATTAAAATCATTATGATGAGAAACCTCATAGCTATGACAAGTCTTTAAAAAGTCTCCAAATATTTTATGTACAATTGAAATCGAATTTAGATACAAACACAGTATAAATAGACAGACAGAGATAGAAGTTGAATTCACGACCTTTTCACCTAACTTTTCATATTGATTCTACATTATTATAATAATTACTGCTACTAAAAAAAACAATTAATTATCATTACTTCATCCCACAATGGGGAGATTTGCTGTGGTGCAGTAATAATAATGATAGTCAACAAATAGACATTGGTAAAAGTAATAAATAAGCAAACATGCAATATAAGAGCAAGGAAGCTTAAAAAAGAAATATAATAGAAATGTTATATACAATAGAAACAGAATATATACATTATATTATATTATATACATTAGCCATTGAATTCCACAGATAGGAGTGAGTATTTAATGGATAATGAATATTGTAAATTTAATATCAAAGACATAAAATCTTTCCTTTCACCACTTTTTAATTGATGTGTGAATCAGTGATCCCGCTTTTCCGGTTTTAAATACGGAAGAGGAGAAGTCATGGTGGCGCCTCCGTGTGGAGAGATGACCGCACAGCAGCCAGTCCAGCAGCAGTCTCCGAACTAACAGCTGATCTCAGACTCTTCTCTCCTGTGAACATCCGGTGAGTCCAACAGTCTCTTGACTTCTTGTTCTTCTAGACATTTGTTTGACAAGATGTTTCACTGGTGGAGGAAAAGTTTCTTCTGTTTGTTTATATTGTTTTTGAATTGGAAAGAGAGTTCACTCTGCTCAAAGTCGAGAAACAGAATAATTTCAACTGATTAGTTTGTTGTTTATCCCCTGAAAGAGTTTTTGTCTTGTTTGTTAGTTGATCTCTGGATTCTTTATCTTATCATTCAGACCTTTTCTTTTCGCACCACTTTAAATTGTACTTGTGTGTGTTTGCAGACAGAAATGTTTGTTGATTCAACATGAAAAATGTATTTGTGGTTGAAGTTGATTCAACTTTAAAGAAGTATCTTCAGCGTCTTTACATTTTGAAAAGGAGTCACTGAATCACTGAGGGTCAAGTTTTTACATTGAAGTAACATGTAATGAACATTGTGTGATCGGGCCGACGGCCTGTCACTACTCAGGATTTTAAAGTCAGTGAGGATTGAACATCGATTGTTGAAGAAGGGAACTCTGAAAACTGTATTTTACATATGACATTATCTCACTGTGATGCATTCAAGTTCTGTGGACTTAGACAATAATGATCCGTTTTTATGAAATCAGGAAGTAAATCAGGAAGTCACTTCTGGAGGGAAACTGCAAAGACCTCACCTCAAGGCCTCACCTGCAAAAACATAAATAAATATATTGTTCCGTTCAAACTGTGAAATGTTCCCATCAGCGCTCAGCAGCCTAAGTTTGAATCTTTCAACTGAAGAAGCACAAACTGGCAGATCAGAATTTTTTAACTTCTTTCACTGACTTCACTCAGATGTTCAACTTTAAGGTGAGTTTTAAATCCTTTTTTAATGATTTTTATTTTTTCATTTGAGGTGTTTCTTTACAAGCACATAGAACTAAGTTCATTGTAACCACTTTAAGTGTATTATATACAGGACATATTT